GCAATTTACATTCATGCATTATGTATTGTAAGTCAAAAAATATCACTAAATTTCTAGGCTATGCGCAGAAAGAAATACGTTTAAACGCTTTACAATGCAGCCCTGGTAGAACGTAATTAGATTTGAGATGAAATGATAATCGCTAAGAAATCATGCTGAAAGAAATAAAGTTATCACTCATAGTTTTAAAATACGCATTTACTCACGTGCATTCCAAGTCGATCGATTTCTGAAAGAACCCATCCTACAGAGCCATCACCACTACATACTAAAATCCGAAAGGGATCAAAATGCCGGAACAGTCGTAATCTGAGCAAGACACGTAATTCTTGTATTCGAAGCGTTTATACACACTTTGTTATACGAATTATAGATACACGATTGATTAATTGTAATTAGTAGCGTATAATAGCGATTTGCCTACCCTGGACCTGGTCCTCCTTTTATAAGGTCGAACACTTGTGCGGGATTAAGTAATTGTTTAAATCTTCTTAGAAACTTAATACCTTGATTGTCACCAGATTTACTGTTTACAAATACTAAAAGTGGACTGCATCCCGTAGGTCTAACTGCTTCCCAAGCTTCGTCGCTACCTGATAATAATTGAATCACGTACACAATTATTACTACTATAAAAGTTTTATATTTGGATATTTATATACAAATTCATACAATATATTTTATGATACAAACAGATTACCTATATTATGCAAAGCCGTAGGAGGCACTATACTGAGTTTACATGGTCCTAATGGACACTTGATACTCATGGCAGGTCTGCATGCTGTATGTACAGTTGCTTTGCACCACACACATCTCCAGTCTTGAAGCCTACGAATAATATGTTGATTTGAATATATACTAAATTTTATCAACTACTTACGTAAAAATGTAGTGGGATGTAAATACCTAAGTACAGAACCACATGTCTTTTCGCAGACGAAGCATTTTGAGGACACTGGCAAATTTCCCTCCATCCACTGATGTGGCATTGTGATGTTCTACAATAAAGATTAAATGATACAAGAATTGTATATTATTGATACATTTATCAAATGAACAATTATAAGAAGTTATTAAAAGATATGTTTATAATTAAAATTATATATTTTATTGATTATTAATTTCCAAAGATATATTTTTAATAACATATATACACACCCCATCTTGGTCCTCAATAATATCTTTTCCAATGGATGCCAAAGTTGTCCACTTGCAATTATTTATTGCTTTTGCAGCACATCTTTTGTGCACCTTGTATTTACAAGTTTCACAACTCAAACCATGGGAAGTAACACCTGTAACAATGTAACATTATAAATTTAACCAATATCTTTAAATAACTGCAATTTACAATGAAAAAAAATCCTTACCAGGCAGAGCATCTCTGCAGACATTGCAATATGTAGGTCTAGCGTGATTAGTTGCGTAAAATTGATGATTACCTCCCAGTATCTCTGCAGTCCCAGAATCACCTTGAGGATGATTCTCCGACGCTGTTCTTGGTACTAACCACTCCTCCATGTCTTCTTCTCTTTCACTACAGAGAACCAAAGACCTTAGAGGAGTGATCACCTAATACATAAGAAATATTACACTGTATTAAAAAATGTTCGTAATGTTTTATTTCTGTTGTATTGTTTTTTATGAATTTTCTACAATAACCCATTATCTAAGTCAATACCTTTAAATCTTAAATCGTAAGAAAATAGTCAATTATAATTAATTATTCTTCTCACATTTTATTGTGACTATTAACTTTTTGTCTTAAGATTTAAAGCTTAGGTAATGGCTTATTGTAGAAAGTTCATTAAACTTCATTACTTAGAATTATATTGATATATAAATGTCAACTCTCTGAAAAGCAATGTTTTAAAATGTTTTTAAAGAAACTTATTTTTGCATGTAAAGAAATTTATTCGTGTATATAAATAAATAAAATATATTTTTACAATTTACCGGTATAGAGCATTCTCAGTGCAAGGTTATGATTTATTATTAAACGGCGCTCCAAAAATGTGGATAAGCATCGCGGAGCACCGTTTCCGATCAAATGACAATCCTGTTGCTTCCGCATCTCAGCTGTTCCGTTTTGCAAACAAAGAGAACCGCCGCGGATTGACACTCAGCCGGTTCAGCGAAACAAGCTACAGAATTTCGAACGTTGCGAAACGTCACTCGCGATATTCATCGCTATCTAGCCAATCCATTCTATTGTCTATTAAACAATCGATAATGGCATTGTTATGGAGCCGCGGTAAGAAACAATTATTAAGCCGGTGGGACATTCGGGCGGTCAGACGGGCGACCTAATTAGAAAGCTGGGGACGCATCGCCGCCGTCACTACCACCATCGTCCCGTCGCCACCCTCAGCTCTGCCCATCCCTTGGCGTGCCTAACCTTCGCGGTATAAGTACCTTGAATCGGGAACGGGCCCTTTGTTGCCTCGACATTCGAACTGTGGCCCGCAACGCGACGGCGGCATTCGAGTGACACGTGCGATTTCGCACGCGGTTTCCGATCACCGTTCCGACGAGCGTTGCCACGAGACTTGGCGGCGTGCCATCCGCGGCGACATGTCACGCACGAAGACGACGACCGACGACGGTGACGAGGTGCGTCTGATCGGGCTCGCCGCAATAACAATCGCATGATCGCATCGGTCCGTTACTTCCGCGAGACGGAAGTCCGCTGCTTCTCTGTTCCGGCTTTAGCGCGCTGCTCCATTTCTTATGGCACATGTCATGCTCGCCGCTTCTCCGTGTCGTTTATAAATAAGTACGTCTCCGCTATCGTCTGCTCGTGCATTGTTCGCTCGCTCGGCTCGCTCGTTTCGTCTCTTCCTTCTCACTGGCACGCCGATGTCGCCGAGCCGCCTGGCCGATCTGGCCACCACACCGCGTGTCACACGCGCAATGACCACGTGCGCCATTGTACTTGACGCCGACGCTGACGCGCGCGGCGCACTTATTCACGCCGCGCCGCCTGAGCTGCCTCGAGTCACGCGGCTGTCATATCAATAAACCGGCTTGGCCGCATCGCGAGACGGTTATTGTTTATGTTTCGCGCTCTCTCTCTCCGTCTCGGTCCTGTGCTGTCGGCAGTCCTGCGTGTGATCGTATTGACAGGTAGACAGCAAGGTGTATCGGAACTTCGCGTGCTATCTTCTCTCACGAGAATCGCCCATGCGATGGAGTTGAAAATTCCGCGGTATTCTCTTTTCCCGGATTTTATTCTCTATTTCTGAATATAAAAAAGAATCGATCATCCGAAGTATATACAATACGCGAGCATACACACATAAGTACACGATTATGCATGTATTTGTTGCTATTCAAAATTATTTTTGTTTTTCATTTTCGTCACTCCCACGAAAGTGACTCTTATTTGTCTAAAAGGGAAAATAGTCTTAAAGGGAAAATTATTAACTCAGTTGTGCTCAACGGAAGGAAATGAGATGCGGTCGTTCGTTGAGTGTGCTCGTATTTCTCATTTCAATCTCGAGAGCGTAGTTATATTTGTATTACCGGTAATTCATCTCTCGTACAATTTACGCAGACTTGCAGAGGAATATTATAACGTATAATATTCTAAGAAGAAGAGATTCTAAGAAGAAGAATAGATGGTACTTCTCCGATGAATGTAGAACACTTCTTTAGCTTACGAGTAGTTTGATTGCGTTTCGATTGTAAATCGGAGATATTTGATGAGTTCAATTTTTACAAAAGACAAGGCTGGGCATGTATAATATTTGAAATATTTTTATTTGAAAAACAATATTTAATAAGACAATTGTATCTTGTATTATATGCATTTCAACGGCGCAAATATTTCGTATTTTGTGTTTCATGGCAGCATATAAAAGTATTTTGTATTTTGTATTTCAATATTAATAACGAAAGATTAAAAGTATTTTGTATTTCAGATACAAAGATTGAGAATTAAATGTTATTATTTTAATTACAAAGTACAAAAAACTTAGAATTTTTCGATTTTAAATACATAATACTTTCATGTGCTTCGCTGAAATAAAAAATATAAAATGTACTTGTATTGCAAAAACTGTGGCTTAAATAAAAGTATTTCAAATATATGTTCAGATAGAAGGCAATTATTTTCGTTCGCTGCCCGGTAAACACTAATTGTAGTAACATATTACATCAATAATTACAATTTAATCTCAATACTGTAGTGTAAAACATTATTATACGTAACAGTTACATTGTATACTATCTACTACTTAGATATCAAAGCAGCAATGATAATCCAATACCTTGAGACAAATAACATTTTGTTATTTTTAATTTTTATTTGGAATTTTTACATTTTTATCAAAATGTAAATTAATCCATTCCTTTGATTTATAGTTCACAGTAAATATCGTATTAACATATTTAGTAAATAATAAATAAGCATTTAATAAATAATGAATTTTGAGTTAAATTTAACACATTTTTTTACCTAAATTATTATGCGTAACTCCAATTTTTTTAGTTAAATTAACGATACATTAAGTAGAAGCTAACAGCTTATAGAAATGAATAATTTAAATTGAATATAAAAAAAATTGATATTATGAATTTAATAATATATGTATGAGTATGTAAATATACATAAACGTGTAAGTGTAAAGAAACCCAGATAGCACAAAGAGTTCAAAAAGAATTCAGTGACATGCCATCAATTCTGAATTCATTTTCAGGGGTAAAAAGAATTCTTTTTCTGAAAAGAATTCTTATTACATCTGAAAATGAGTTCAGAATTGATGACATATCACTGGATTCTTTTTGAACTCTTTTAAATTCTCTGTGCTATCTGAGGCCAGAAATGTGACGGAATTGGACAGGATTCCCAAAGATACGCAGTATCAGAATATTGGCGTCCACGCAATTTGTCTTTAAATGCAACTGACATGAATACAAAAATCTTAAGTCTGTCCGCGTTGCTTGTATTCGCTTGCACTCAGTATCTTTCTCTCTCTTTAATGTCCGGAAAATATATTTATCTCTAATTTATGCATTGTTAGATATCAAAAGAGCAAATAACACTTTGTCATTTTCAACTTCCCTCTGGCTTAAAATGTACAATCCATTCCTGTGGTTAGCTTCAAAACATACATCGTTCATATTAAAGTACATATATTTAATAGATATTAAATTAAATTTGAGATAAATTTAATATATTCTTTTGAGTTAAATTAGAAATTGTTTTATAGCAAATTCGAACGCACTAATGGACGCACTAATACACAATAACGCGTATTAAAACCGTATGTATGTTGATTTAATCTATGTAAAAATAAAATGCAAATATTTCCAATTATAAAATACGGATTTTATTATCAGAATGCATAATGCAATTTATATTGAGGCATTTAATCTGTTTTTATATTTATATTTTTTTATGTCAATTTATATGTTTTTAACATGCATCAATGCGCCTTGAGTGCGTCAAATCGAATTGTCTATTAGTTATTAACGATACTTTGGACGGCAGAAGCAGTGACCTATATTATAGAAATGACTAAAAATAACTCAAATGCGGTATAATTTGATATGAATTTAACAGTTGAGGAGGAAATTATACAACGTTGTTCAGCAAACAAACTGATGTTGTTTGTTATTAATTTTAATGTCAAGTGATGTCATTTTGATGTCTAAACGACAACAAATAACGTTAGCTTGTTTGTTAAAGGTGATGTTATTGTTGGTGTTTACTGAGTTACTATGAAAGATAACGAGTTCTCCGAACGCGTTAATTCTATTATCGTTTGCACAACATGCGAATATACAACTTTGAAATATTTGATCAGGTGCATTATTTTTTTAATATCGTCGATAAGTTCTCACGTTCTCTCATAAAAAATTTTTCGAGTACTCGCAGTCACGTAAAAGTTACGAAAAAGGATCTTCGGATCTTTTTAATAAAATAAGATAAAGCCTCTGTATATAGCGGCGTCGATGTCGTGCAAATCTATATCAAAATATTAAAGATTAAAGCCCAATTCCAGTGTAACGCCTTAAAATTTTTTATTTTAAAAATTAAAAAAAGATGAGTAAATTGAATCGATTAAAATTAATTTACATTGATAAAATATGGGCATAATAATTAGAAAAAGATAAAGAATAAATTGTTGAATTATTGAATTATTCCGATAGATTAAAGTCAAACTTAAATTAATGGATCTGGGTTTAACTGAATGTTCCTGCTGAATCACGAAAAGAATTCGGTGACGGTAAATCACAATTCAATCACAATTTCTGCGGGTTTTGAATCTATTATGAAGTCGATTATTGGACATTGGGGCAAATCCGCGAGAATTATTGACGAGACGTGGGTGGACTCGTCTTCTTGACACGCCAGCCGATATTTGTTTTATTGTCGGAGCCACTTTTCCAACCCCGTGAGTAGTGGCGTAGGTGGCGATGGACACATCATCGGAGTGAAACGGAGACGATGTATGCGACGCGTTAAATGCCAGGTGAGATCGGAGGCTCTGTGTGTCGATCGGTCAGGTGTCTCCCTTTTGTGCGGTTGTCCATTCTTGTCCTGTGCTTTCATGCCGCAGTCGCGA